TATGCAGATGACCTTGTGTTAATGGCTAAGGAAGAAACTGTGCTACAGGGCATGATTGATAGACTAATTGAAATTGGAAGGTGCTATGGCATGGAAATGAATGTGGAGAAAACAAAAGTAATGAAAATTTCGAGACAACCAACCCCAGTCACAATAAAGATAGACCAAAAACAACTGGAGAATGTGAAATGTTTTAAATATTTGGGTAGCTTGTTAACAGCTGATGGATGATGTACTAGTGAAATTAATCCAGGATTGCCATGGCAAAACCTGCATTTAGCAAGAAGAAGAATCTTTTTACCAGCAAATTGGACTTAAATTTGAGGAAGAAACTAGTGAAATGCAACATTTGGAGCATAACTCTGTATGGGGTTGAAACATGGACACTTAAGGCAGATGATCAGAAACATCTGGAAAGTTTCGAAATGTGGTGTTTGTAACCATACAATGGAAAGGACTACAATGTTTTGTTCACATGTCGGTACTTGTCACTACATCAAAGCAGAGGTAATACCTCACACCCCACAAAAACCAGAGGGACCTGAACCCAATTGGCACTAGGAGAAGTCAGGCCTCCCTCCTACCTGAGTGGGTATCTTGGAATGAGAGAGAAATTCTAAAGAAATAACAGCTTGAAAGTTTACTTACACAGTTTCGAGATGGTAAAGTTTATGACGGGTCACAATCCCCAGACTTAAACCCAAACCAGCCCTACACTCTCCCTACTTTTAGAAAGAGCCCTATGCTCTAATAAAAGAGAAATCTGTCCAAAAGGACGCGGGAGGGAACCTCTTGTCAAGTCGAGAGATGGCCCTCTGACCTGTCATAACTCTCCAAATGTTGAAAACCGCTTTTAGAAAGCAGCTGCGAACTGTTTCAGTAGTAGCGGAAAGGGATTAATTTTCAACACCCAATTCGTCATGGACATACCCTTAGAAGACCGTGAGATTGAACCCTCTCAATCCACCCCGGGTCAGAAAGACTGTGAAAGCAAGTGAACCCCAACTTTCGCCGCGAAACAGGTGACCATTGGAGGAATGAGAAACTCGATTGAACCATTCCCCCTGTTGTCTAAATCCAGCCAACCTGGAGATTTGGAGGATCGCAACGAGGAGTTCCCCAGATTTTCGCAGGACCTCTGAATCTTCAAAAACAGAGAGTCAGTTCTTTTAAAAAGTCTGGTAACAACAGTTAAACTCGGCGGACGCGGAGCTAGCCCTCTCGATCGACTGTTAAATGAAAATCGTGTTTGGAAGTTAAATCAGGAAAATTAATATTGAAAAGAAACGCGAGTGCGAACTGGTGACCCTCTCAGACCCCACACATGCAGTGGTAGCGGTAACCTGTACAAGTCCCCAAGTGCTACGCAATAGTGCTAACGGCGCAAAGTGACAAGGCTTGCAGGAGTGTGTAACCAAGTAACGACAACCCGTTCATTTGGTAGAATCCGAGCCCTTCCGTACCGAGTGTGGTAAAGTAACAATCTGAGTTGTATCTCAGTGATGCCCAGATTACAAACCAATAAAGGAAATGGTGCTAAGTGTCTGTGTTTCCAGTGTGTTCTTTTCTCCTCGTCGGAGTAAGGCCCTAAACGACCTGAGCCAGAGTCTCACGCCTCCCACGACTAGCCCGATCACCATCAGCTCCCACCCCGTCCACCTTTTCCTTTCGCTTCGCAGCTGTACCCACAGTTGCTGGCGCCCATAGACAAATCAGGCCAAGTCCCGGACCTGATATCCCTTTCCACAGTGAAGAGAAGTGGTGGAGTTGGAGAAGCGGTGGAGCCAGGTAAAGTCGACCTAGCTGCAAACTCAACGACCAACCACGGCAGCGGCGAGAAGGACAAGGGAAAGGAAGGACGGTAAAGAGTAGCGACCAACCGGTGTGGCTAGAGGCCTCACTGGGTGGGACGGTAAGATGTTGGAGAAGGATGTAGAAGATCAGCTGGACCGATTATGTGAGAAATGAAGAAATATTAATTAGAGTCAGTGAGCAGAGGAATATCCTACATGAAATAAGAAAACGGAAGGCTAATTGGATTGGTCATGTTTTACGCAGAAACTGCCTTCTAAACGAAGTTATTGAAGGAAAGATAGAGGAGCGGATAGAAGTGACAAGAAGATGAAGAAGAAGACGTAAGAAGATGCTAGATGACCTTGAGGACAGAAGAGGATACTGTCATTTGAAGGAGAAATCTCTAGATCGCATTAAGTGGAGGATTTGTTTTGGAAGAGACTGTGGACCTGTCGTCTGACAGATTACTAATAATGATGATGATGATGATAATGATATCTTTCCCTTCCGCCATACTGCACCAGGCTCTGAAGCATGTTAATCGCTGTCATGCGTCAGTTTGCGTTGTGACTGTTGATAGTGGCATTGTTAGATTGTTGTGAAATATGCCGATATGCTGTACGCTGGCCTCACACGAGCTGCAAAGTGCATTGATGTCGACAGAGAAATTTTCGAAAATGTATTACACGTTACTAGGTAAACTGTACCAACTTTGTCCCTTTAACAATGAACACCGGTATTAGAAACAGTACATAATATATTTTCTCTGTCACTGAAACAATTCGGAATAGGAGACACATACATACTGTAACGTGGCTAGACACAGCGTTGCTAGGTAACTGACAGTTATACATGTCGCGACACGCAAGGCAAGAGAAGGAGTGCGGCGTTTTCTATGCGGTCGGCACTCGCTCGGTAAACATGTTCCAACGATATATAACGAGAATAACCTTTGTAGGGGCGGAGTCGAATACCTCCACCGTGACCCTGCGAGTCGTCGGAGGCAACGAAAACGGAAGTCTCAAATCTGAGACAGTAAAATGTGGTCATGAGAAAGCCTGCGCTGGCAAGATCCAGCAGCATGCACACATGACAGACACGTCTTCTCGTAAGAGAGGGCGCCCACAAAAAACAAGACCTCAACTGTCAAAGAGTAATAAATATCTGGTCATGACCCCAAGATGGGGATCGAAACCAAGACTTAATGACTGACTGTCAGTCAAAATGTGACTTCGACTTTAAGTTCAGTTTAGTGTGTTTCAGTGTTTCCGTGTGTTTAAGTAACAGTAAGAGTGACAGCAGCGGGAAGTTCTTAAGAGACCTGTGAAGATTTAAAATGTGATTTGAAGACTTTAATTATGTGCAATATTTGGAGTGATTTGAAGGCTAATTTCTGTGTTGAGATACGTCCGACTTTCCGAAACGGAAAAAATAGGAAATGCATAGGGAGTAAGAGCCGGATATGGGGTAGAACCGACCACTCCAGGAGATATAGCCCCCACTGGTGTGAGAGAGAGAGAACTTTGGATGATGGTGATACAGCTGGATCTCCCGGCAACTTGGCAGTGAACCGCTAGGGACGAGCTGGCCTTAAGGATGGAGTGAGCGGGTACAGCGGTTGGGGAAGCAAATAAACACCGAGCTAGAGAAAAAATAGACGTTTCAAGCACAGTCCTCGGAAGAAAAGGAAAGGTGATGCACTGATAGGCTATTCGGGACGAAAGGCCATAAGGAGGGAGCAATATAACGTGGATAGTCTTAGCGTTGCTAGGTAACTGACCGTTAAATACCTAGCGACCGAATACACGCAAGAAAACAATGGGAGTGCGGCTTTTTCTATCCCGTCGGCGCCGTGACCGTTGCTATGCAATTGCTGGATAAACACGTTGAAACAATATAGGCTGTCTTCTGCGTGGTCGGTGCGGAAGTTATATAACGAGAATAACGTCAGCAGTTCGGTTTAGTGAGTTTCAATATTTGACAGTGTTCAAGTAACTGTAAGAGCGACAGAAACGGGAAGTTCGTAGGAGACCTGTGAAGATTTACGTAAAGTGTGTTTGAATACCTTAATTAGGTGCAATATAGAGGCGGGATAGCGCAAGCGGTATAGCGCCTGGCTACGGATGGACGACAGATGGGTCAGAGTTCGAGTCTTGATGGGGGCAAGAATTTTGTCTCCTCCAAATCGTCCAGACTGACTCTGGGGTCCACCTACCGTCCTAACCAATGGGTACCGGTGGCCCTTTCCCAAGGGATAAAGCGGCAGGGGCGTGAAGCTGACCACTCACTTCCAACTAGTGACGAGGTCAAAAAAATGTGGATCTATACATCCACACGCCGATACATCTACATGGCAATCATGAAAATATACTTTTTATTTTTGGCTTAGAATGACCGATACTACGACCACCCAGAATAGTGACCCTTCCTCCTGGAATATTCTGTACTCGTACATGAATTTACACATATTTCTTTATATCCTTAGGAAGAAACTGACAAGGAGGCGAGAAAGCAGAAAAAAAGGAAAATTGACGCTGGAGAGGACACGAGGGAAGGCACTGCAGAACCTTCACATCTGGATCGGAAAGACGATTCAAAAAAAGACACAGAACAAGATGTTGCTGGGGAAGAGAAAAAGAGTGTGGGTAATTCTCATCAGCGAAGGAAATGCGAAGCACCACAAGTCTCAGACTCTACAATTATATGCCCAGTGTCCAAAATACCTGAAAAAAGGTGCAACTGGGTCGGAACACAGGACAGTTTAGAGCGTCACGTCACCAGAGCCCACTTTGGTATCCTGAGGAGATGCCCTATTTTCCGCTGTGGTTCTTTCCAGAACAACGTTCTGCTAATTTTATTTAAACAAGAAATATTTCTGTACTATAAGCATGTTTCAATCACTGGCAGAGTGTACGCGGTCGTGCAGCAAGTCGGTGTTACTAACAAGGAATTTAAGTACACAATAGAACTCCGGGCAGAGTATGAAACAGTGGTAAACATTACTTTCAGCTTTAAAACAGAGAAGACAAGTGAGCCTCTTGAAACCATTTTCGATGCCCGCAGGTGCATGGATATGAACAAGGAGACTTTGATACCGTTCGTAGTAAAAGATGAATTAAACATGACGGTGAAAATAAGTGAAACTTATACACATGGCAATAGGCCGACTGAAGTCACTGAGGGAGATAACACGGGAAAAAAGAAGAAGATGAGCGCTCATCATGAAGATAAAGCTGATTCAGAGAAAGTGTTGACACATGCGCAGATGGAAGGCACTGTTACGTGCCCCTTGGTTAACGTTTCTAACCATTTTTGCACCTGGGTTGGTAAACTCGATAATTTAAAGGAACACGTTGAAGACGAGCATGGAGACGTTCTGAGCAGAGGCTGTGTTTTCGAATGTGTATCTCTTACCAACAATGCTTTGTTGGTGTTGGCTTATACCGAAATATTCCTGTACTACAAACATATCTCATCGTATGGTGTTATGTATGTTATTGTACAGCAAGTTTGTGTTACCAGAGAAAAATATAGGTATATAGTCAATTTTTTGGGAGACGATTACACAGACGAAATAATCCTTGACTTCGCTGTGCAAGAGATTAGTAAACCTCTTGACAAAGTCTTAAAATCTGGCGAGTGCCTAGCCATAACGGAAGAACGTCTGCGGCCTTTCATAAGAGGAGACAAAATGGCAATGGCAGTGAAAATAGAGAAAGTGTTGACACATGCGCAGATGGAAGGCATTGATATGAATTCTGCTGTTACGTGCCCCTTGCTTAAAGTTTCTGACCATTTCTGCTCCTGGCTTGGTAAACTCAGTAATTTAGAGGAACACGTTGAAGGCGAGCATGGAGACGTTCTGAGCAGAGGCTGTACTTTCGGATGTCAGTCTCTAACCAACAAAGCTTTGTTGGTGTTGGCTTATAACGAAATGTTTCTGTACTATAAACAACCTTCACAGAGTGGTGGCATGTTCGTAATAGTTCAGCAAGTTGGCCTTACGAATCGGAAATATGGATACGCGGTAAAACTCAGCACGAGGACTGAAGAATTTGACATAACATGTGAATTTAATGCATATAAGATTACCGAACCCTTTGGGCCCATTTTCGATAATCGCAGATGCATGGTTCTTCATGCAGATTTGGGTCCTCAAATAGAAAGTGGAAATCTAGCAATGTCTGTAGCAATACGTGAACATTCTTCTTCTGAGGAGGAAACAGATGAGTGGGACTCAGATGAGTCTGCGTCAGATGAAGAATATTTTGACGAAGAGGAAGACAAACATGTTAACACAACCTGCCCCTTAGAGAAGATTCCAGAAAAATCGTGCCCCTGGGTTGGACCCTTCCACTGTTTATACAAGCACGTGGACAACATCCATGAGGATGTTTTGAAGAAATGCTTTTCTTTTCCTTGCAATTCTCTTCAAGATAAAGCTTTTTTAATATTATTTCAGGGAGAAATATTTCTCTACTATAAACATTTTTCACAGGCAGGTATTATGTACGCAGTTGTACAGCAGGTTGGTCTTACAAAGAAGAAATACAAGTACTCAATAGAGATTTCTTCATTAGACAGAAAAGTTCGCTCCATTACTTTTACGTCTGTTACGGACTGGATTAGTGAGCCTTTTAAAGACGTTTTCAATGCTCAAGGGTGCCTGGTTGTTAGTAGTGAAAGGTTGGTACCATACGTATTATATGATAAAATAAGCATGTTCGTGTCAATATCAGGATTATCTCCATAATGGCTGAAAGAATCGACTACATCCTCCCGTCAGTGCTAATATCGAACGAGACATGTCAACAGCAAACGTTAGATGGAAGCACGGGGTGCCACATTAACCTGCGTAGACATGCAAGAGGGTACAGACGCGAAATCTCTTTTTTCTTGGATGAGTACAGAGTTAAGTTCTCACATCTGGCCTGCCAGTGTTTCCATCATATGAGCTCATGTATACCAGTTGGATCGCAGTCATTAAATAATTCAAATAATGATCATATATCGCGGTGAGCTCAGATTGGTTAGATGAAGTCGATCCCCCACCTTCCAGACGCGCGCATGTTCCAAATTACTAAAAGCGCATAGGAGTTAACCGTATCCTATTGACAGGAGTCTAACTTAGCTTTACATTATGTTGATTTATTTTGTGAACCGATCTTCAGGGCTAGCCAGGTGTACCAATATTTCGACACAATTCCTCAGAATGTAGTCAACTATTTATATATTTAAAACACGTTTTAATTTAATAAAAAAACGTTAATTTTAATTAAATTAAAAATCAAGGTTTGATATTGCTTTCTAGTTTTTAATTAAACAGACACAAAAATCACATTATATTAAATCGCATATAAAACTGACAGGAGAAATTTAAAAGTCATATTTTAACGATAGTTTTAGGATCCCTTGACTTGATTCATTTGCATGTGAGAAGTTTAAACCTATGTAGAATATCTAACTCTTTGGCATTCCTTCTGCTCTGTACTGCATGCAGTGTTTACATTGAATAATGACAAATAAAAGCAGTGCGATCAGTTTCCGTATCTGAGGTATATATATAGTTTATATTGATGAGCTAGCTCCCTGGCTATGGATCATGCAAGAGTAGAATTGTCTAGTGATTATTTGCAGACGCACTGAATATGTTTTTAATTGCTGTCAATTAACTTTTCATAGCATAAAATCAATTAAATTAAAGAATATGGTTTTACTGTGTCACGTTATGTGTTTAGGGCAGCAGAAGTGAAGATTACATGGCCATGTTTGTTGGTTTTCACATTTTTTGAAATGTACTAAAGTTGTGAGTAATTTATTCATATAACACACAAATTCTGCAACCGTGTGTTCTTTTACTATGTTCTGATTCCGTTTTAAGAATGTTATATGAGTACTAATGACAATATGCTTTAAATGAAATAAACGTCAGATTTTAAATGTCTTACTTTATGTATATGAAAACATAGGCACCAAGTGGGCTCTTGTATTACATGATGTATTCCTTGACATGCTGAATAAATCTGTTTAATTTCAACTTTAATTCACTGTTCTGGTTGCCAAGGGAATACCTTGCATTGAGGCAGTTCTATCTTCTGGGATATTAAGCCTTGTATTCCACGAGACAGAATTAAGAACCTGCATATGTATGTATACACGTAATAATGATTGAGGGCCGCAGATGTCACAGATTCACCCATTACACACACCAGGAACTGGAAAAGTTCTGGAAGGATGGCTTCACAGGTTCACCAATGTTGGTTTTTCTTGGAAAAGATCAACACTTCAACATAAACTGAACCATTCGTTTAAAATTCCGTTGAAAATATTGCGATAAATCCCATTTCCATACATAGCACTTCCATTTCTCCAACCTCACACTCAATGGCCTTTGATTGCTGAAGGTTGCAGTGCCTGTGGCAATTTCTTAACATAAGACAACAGGGAAGTTTGCTGGATCGACTGACTCCTCCCTTCACGACAGATTTCTCTGTAGCATGCGATGCTGTTTGACAGCATTTTACCCACAATAGAATTTATATCAAAACTGGAGCCAATCCTCTCAAACCCTCCATTCCTTTATCAGAAGTCTAGCTTTCGGCCTATCTCGGCTTTCGACATGCCTTCATCACTGAACTTAATCATTTCTAGCTTTTGATTTAACGCGAGAAGCATGTGGAACACTTAGAGGTCATACAAGGGCTCGATTCGTGGCAGCCCAAAATAATTACAATAGTAACATCAAAGATCACTGAGCACACATCACCATTACAGGTATAACAATAATGAAAAGGTTTGAAACATTGCGAGAGCTACCAAAATGTGACACACACACGAAGTGAGCACACGCTGTGGCAGAAATGGTGCCGATAGACTTGCTCGACGCAGGGTTGCCAGAAACACAACAAGATTACATAAAGGATCTTATAATGGTGATGACTTTTCATTTTAAATAGAATTCTAAATACAGAGCTACTATAAACGATTTATATGTTCCGAAGCATTACACGTACGAATATGATTGATATATAAAAAGAACCGTAAACTCAAAAAACTTTTCTTCACACTTTACAAATGTTCTGTGTGTGCCCCTTTGGACACACGACACATGACCAGGCGGTAGTCGAGCTCGTTCCACACAGGAAAAAGATGTTTTGAAAATGTGGCACAGTTCAGATATTTGGGAACAACAATAACAGATGAAAACATGATTCAGGAGGAAATTAAGAGGAGATTGAACTCGGGTAATGCTTGCTACCATTCAGTCCAGAACCTTTTGTTGTCTCGTCTGCTGTCCAAAAACATAGAAATTAGAATATACAAAACTATAATTTTGCCTGTGGTTCTGTATGAGAACAGGGTGTTGAGAATCTTTGGACTGAAGAGGGATGATGTGACAGGAGGTTGGAGAAAAATGCATAACGAAGAACTTCATAACGTGTACTCTTCTCCAAGTATAATAAGAATGATCAATTCAAGGATGATGTGGGCGGGGCATGTAGCACGAATAGAGGAGACGAGGAATGAAGATAGGATATTGTTGGGAAAGGCAGAAGGAAAGAGACCACTGGGAAGACCAAGCCGTAGGTGGCTGGATATTATTAAAATGGATCTTAGATAGGATGGGATGGATTCATCTGGCTCAGAATAGGAACCAATGGATGGCTCTATTGAATACGGTAATGAACCTTCGGGTTCCATTAAATGCTGTGAAATTCTTGAGTAGATGCAGAATTGGCGGGCCCTCAAGAAAGGCCAAGCTCCATGAGGATGTAAGTAAATCACTTGGCAACAGCACAGTGCAACTTCAGGATAGTCTAGGTAGCAGACATGCATGAGAATGATCAAAGGCTGGTTTCAGTAGTAGTCAGTGCTACTGAAATGTACTACAGAAGAGCAGCGTTCTGTTGTGAATTATTTACGCGGGGAAAAAGGACTCAATGCAAAGGAAATATTTCCTGTTTACTGCCGGAAATGTTTCTCATGTAAAGGGGTTCAGAGCTAGGTCGAGGAATTCTCTCAAGGACGATCAAAATTAGAAGATGATGAAAGGGAGGCGCGGAAGTGGCTGAGACAACAGTCAAAAGATTTGTGTGCTGCGGGTTTTGAACGCCATGACAAAGCGACGGGATAACTGTGTCAATGTGGGCGGAGGATATGTCGACAAATACATTTTTATCAGGTTTGAGTATCTTACGTTTTATATCCATTTGTCACCTATTTACTGACTCTCCCCCGTACATACTTCCACAGGAATCGAAGTATAATGACATCAGATTATACCACTCTTATTGGTTTACATTAATTTCTTTTTCCCCCTTGGTACTACAGCCCCAGTGGGCCTAGGCCTACCTCCATGAACTTCTCCGTTCACTTCGGGTTTTCTAGATCTTACACATTCGGTAGGACTCCTTGGGCGGGTGATCAGCACGTCGCAAGGTCTCTAACTGTACACAAACACAGAAAAACGCACATACACAAACTAAACACCCATGCCCTGAGCGGGATTCAAACCCACGATCCCGGTTTCCAAGCGAGCGAAGACAGTATATGCCTCAAACCGCTCGGCTAACGTGACCGGCTTTCCATTGATTACGGGGCTCTAATTCCACTACATTCAGTAAAAGTGGCACATTTGTATTCAGGTTACTCGAAAAGTGTAAATCCCCCAAAATCTCGAGATTACAATACTTTCTCATGTATAAAAGGTATATACGAAGGTAAAAAATTATGCTTAGACCTAAGCGATCACAACGACAACTGCGCATGTTCCTCTGTCTCCTCCTCGATCTTCCTACAGAAGGGACAGAATTAAAAAACAAAATAGGACATTGGAAGCCTCTACAACTTCATACTCTTTAATTTCCTCTGTTTGATTATACAACATGGCGGACATAGAGGTTTGCTAAGCGAAAATAGCGCTATTTGCTTTAGAGACATGAAGTAGCGTGCGGTAATAGATACTCAATCAAGAAGTTCAGGGAAGAGCTAATCGCCTACTCCCTTGATACGACACGGATCGCATAGAAATCGACACGATCAACAATTATTCTATTGTTACGTGTGTATTCGTTGCTCGGTAACGTTTTTACCGACAAGAGGGCTATATACACAGACTATGAAGTACGCTGTTGAGATGGGCTCCTACCTACGTCTTGGTCTTCCCAGTGGGGTCTTTCCTTCTGGCTTTCTCACCAAAATCCTGTATGAGCCCTCTTCTGTCCAACTTGCTGCTTGCGTCATCAATTTCATCTTCCTCGACTTGATTAATTGTATTTGGCCAAGAGTATACGTTATGAATCTCCTTACTATACAGTCTCCTCCGGCCTCCAGTCACTTCATCTCCCTTCGTTCCAAATATTCTCTTCAGCGCCCTGTTCTCAAACACCCTCAGTCTATGTTCCCCCCTATGTCAAAGATCAAATTTCACACCCACATAGAACCACATGAAAATTGTATATTGTACTCCCGGTATGTCTCTCATAAAAATCCCTATGCAATATACGTGTATGATCTTTCCTGGTTCCCATAATAGACTAAATTGTCCGAACGCTTAATTAATTAAGACCTGACGATGTATTATGGCGTGTAGGTATATCAAACATTTCTTGGTCTCGACACCAGACGAAGGTGAGGTGCTTTACCCCCGGGGACAGGGCTCCACAAACACACCGAACAATGCTGGGCTGGTCCCAGAACCGGTATATACGGTGTGACGAAAAGAAAAATTCTATCCTCGCCAGGGAATCGAAATCAGTACAGGTGTCCTCACAATTCTATGCAAGATTTGAAGAAAGAAAGTTCACAGCTTTCAATGATGAGTTACCCGTCGCAATTTCAGCACAGCAGATCACGTTTCGGAGGAAAGAAGTACCTCCATCTTCGGGGGCTATTTGCTTGGCTTAGTATTCGATTCTGAATCATCCGCACCTCTTGCCCAGACTGCACGACGTTATATCGCACTTCAGTGACCGATGCGAGAATCTCACATCCAGCTTAAAACTGAATTAAAAGTGTACAGGTACGGGGTGAGTCGGTATAGCGACCTGCAACGGGATGGTGAGCAGAGGGGTCGGAATTCGAGTTCCGGCAGGGGCGCGCATTTCCCTCTTTTCCCCGTCATCTAGAACGGTTCTGGGGCCCACCCAGCCTCGTATCCAACGGATAACGGGGGCTACTTCCCTGGGGGAAAGCGGCCGGGGCCTGAAGCTGACCATTAACTTCCAAGTATTGCCGAGGTCAAGAATATGTGGATCCATACATACACTACTCCATGCGTCTTCATGGCCTAGTACTTAATTAGTTAAGCTGAGGGACAGCTTCATCTTTTAGCTTTAGAGGTATGGGGTTTGCCACACGTACACAACTAAAACGATAAAAACTAACAGGCCATGGGTGCTTGTAAGATGTCGAGGCTCCGACATTTTTTAGACACTAAACTCACAGATGGCGGTGAAGTCGTCAGCCTTTCGCGCTGGCCTCCATTTAACCCCCAGGAAGATTCCTGGCACTCATTTCTGTTAGAGGCTGAGTCGAACCCAGGGCCACAGTGCGACTGAAAGGATCAGGTCAAGTGAAAAAGAAATCCAATGACCACATCAGGAATATAAACCAAGACCTTCCAGCTTGTAGCACAGTGCCTTAACCAACTACGGTACCGCGTCTCTCCTCGTGTTGACAGTACTTTTGAAATGACTACTGATTGTAGCACCTCACCACAGATGCAAAACTGACCCAGCATTCAGCATCGTAGAGGATCATCCTCACTTGCTGTCTGTTTTCAGTGAGAGCAGAAGAAAAATCTTTTGCAGCCCTGAAGACAATCTGAACGGGAAATACCAGAAGAAGACGCTGAACAGCAGCATAAGAAATTCAGAGTAAGACAAATATTTCAATTTCTTACGTTTTATACTACAGGTTGTCTTTCAGTATAGGAATTTACGGGATATTCCACTAAACTGAATTAAATAGTATGACTGATGAAAAGTACGCGCTTCTGGGATGTGACGCCGTGTGGTCCTGTAGAAGTTCATTAATATTTAT